CTTTGCATTACAAGAATGGTAATCTGTCATAGTAGGAACTCAAACCTAGTTCTCAAATTCTAAGGCCTGTACACTTATCTTTTAGATATGAATTGTTGACATTACTTGGATTATTTCTGACACTGAGTTTCCCACTCTGCGTTTCTAACCTGGAGTAAGACTCAATACAACTTCCTCTATGTTACCATGAAAGGCTATCAGTAATGGACTAAACACGATGGCAATCATGCTCTGATGAGTTAAATTTCAAAGCATCACTATACAAATAGACTCACAACCCTGATTCCCCTAGAATCTGGGGGCTTTCCTTCATTTAAATTGCATAATTCAGATATGGCACTTCAACAAATTAAGTTTCTGTGCCCTTTTCTGCATGGCTCTATAAACATATTTCTTGCTATTGGCATGATGATAAAGCACATATGGCTCTTCCATATACCATGCTGCTTCCAGCTACGGGCAACACTTAGATTCTGTCTCGCTTTCCTCTCTTTCCCAAGCTTAAATATGTCCAGAGCCCTTGCACTTGAAATCCACTCATACAAACCTGTTCGCTGCATCCTTCTTGTCTATCATCTGAATCATGAGTGCTGTCTCTGGAAGTGTTAGAAGCTGCTAGTCTTTAAGAACTATGGAAAAATCAGTACAGGTGCAGAAAGATTGTCCCTCCTCAAATCTATGGCATGCTTCTTCCTAATAAGGTATTTTTAAAATTTTTATTTCCTAAAATCTATTCATTTTTATTAGAAAGGGCAGGTTTAGAGAGAGAAAGAGGAATATATTTCATCCACCGATTCACCGCCAAAATGGCTACAAGGCCAGAACTGAGCTGTTGTAACGTCAGAAGCCAGGAGGTCCCTCTGCGTCTCCCGTGTGCGTGCAAGGTTCCAAGGACATGAGCCATCCTCACTGGCCTCCTAAGCCACAAGCAAGGAGTCAGGTCAGAAGTGGAGCAGCTGGAACACGAATGGCACCCACATGGGGTGCCGGCACCACAGGGAAGAGGATTAGGTTGCTACCAGTCCTCATAATAAATCATTTTTGTGAGATTTGATGTATCAAAAAAGATCTCTGGAGCATTTTATTTCACTTTGATTTATCACTTCTTCCTGAAGATTTTATCGAATCCTTTATTACACAAACTATACTTATATTCAAGGCCTTAAGTATTTTAAATATATAAAACAATAAAGTATTCCAGGTAATAATGGAGAAATTTACCTAATAGTAGCTTTTTGTGTTAGATATTTTTTGCAAATATAGTTAAAATATCAATTACCACCAGCGAATATACACATACATATTCATATTTATTAACAAAAACCAAATTATGGTTGCATAGCTAATGAATTGCATATAATAGCTTTGTTGGCATTTAAATTAAAAATGTTTCTATCAAATCTGTGCCCTCTAAGATAGCTTATTATATTGAAAATCAGTTAAATTTCATCTTTCCTGAATGTCAACTAAACATTGAAATAAATATTTTTAATTTTTATTTAATGCATTTCAGTTATCCCATCAGAAAAATAACACCAACTTGGCATCCTACGACTTCCACCCAAAACAGATCTAGGTTGCCCCTAGATCTAACTGCCAGGTTGTTCTGAAACAATGGAAAAGGAAATTCCATGCAATAGGTGCCACTGACAGCCCTGTGATCTAGTTTAAATAACAGCTGGTGTTTTCCTGATACTGCTGGAAACAGAAACAGGAGAAAGGCTGAGCAGACAACAGCGTGGCCACAACACAGGAGTACGGTGGGTGGACAGTGGCAACCCAGGATCCCCTCCTGGGAAGGCAATAGCAGAAGCGTAGCATGGAAGCCCAGGACTGAAACTCACAGGAGGGAGTGTACAATTGATGCAAATGGAGAACCAGGCAATGAATAGGATCAGTAACACTGATATGTAGACATGTGAATGACACAGCTTAAAAATCAGCTGGAAAGAAAAATCTGCTAATTAGGATTGCAACGGCCAAGAGGGGGGAAAAAGGGTAAGACACAATAATAATGTTATTGGTGCTTTCTTCACAAAAGGTCAAAAGACTAATTCAAATTCAGAATTAACTGATGGAGACATCAAGAAACTACCAGATAAGGAATTTTTTTTAATTATTATAAGACTCTTTAAAAACACTAAGAAGCACACACTGGAGTTCAAAGATTTGAGGAATATATTACATAGGAAATAACAACATTGAAACAAAGCCAAACTGAATTATTAGACATAAATACAGTACAGCAAATAAAAAGACTCATTGGAAAGCCTCAATAATAGAATAAGTGAGACACAAAGAATCTCAAAACTGGAAGACACCACTGCAAAAATGCTAAAACAGTCAGAAGTCTGGAAGAGGAACCATATAAAGCTAAGAAAACCACACAGAAATAAGGGACATCATCAAAAAGCCAAACGTAAGAATTGTAAGAGTTCCTGAAGGTGAAATAATAAACAAGAACTCCCCTCACATGGAGAAAGAAATGGATTCCAAGCACAGGAGGGACAGAGAACCCCAAATAGAAACGAACAAAAGTGATCCTCACACTAACACATCATGATCAAATTCTCTTTGGTTGAACATAAAGAAAAGATATTTAAATATGTTCATGAGAAAAGACAACTAACATACAGAGGAATCATAGACTCACAGCTGACCTCTCTGAGGAAACCCTATAGGCCAGTAGAGAATGGAGTGACATATTCCAGATCCTAAAAGAAAAAAGTTATCAGTCAAGAATAACATACCAAGCAAAGCCTTACTTTGTCTTTCAAAATAAAATAAAATACTTCCACAGCAAACAGAAGTTGAAACATTTCACCTCTAATAGACCAACTCTACAAATGTTGCATAATGATGTACTACAGATAGAGGAAAATGAAAATTACCTAACAAATTCAAAGGCAAACATGAAGAAGACCTCAAAAAAAAAAAACACAAAAGAAACCTAAATCAAACAATAAAAAAATTCAATGCTAAAATAACAGGACCAAATCACTACATGTCACTATCAACACAGAATGTAAATGGCTTAAAATCATCAATAAAAAGACATAGGTTAGTGGACTAGATGAAAAATCGGACCCGTCTATCTGGTGCCTACAGGAGACACAACTCACCAACAAACATATACAGAAACTGAAAGTGAAAAGATAGAAAAGGATATTCCAGACTCATGGAAAGGAAAAAATGACCTGGTGTAGCCATTATCATATCAGGTAATATAGACATTGATGTGAAAACACTAAAAGAGATGAAGAAAGACAATATATCTTTCTATGAGATAAATCATTCAGTGTTGGTCTTTATTTCTCCACTTCGTCTGTGCTTACATCCAGATGGTCATGAAGTGCTCAAGTTTATATATCTCCATTTCATTGCCTCAGCTGAAAGCACTTGCACCTAAATGGCTGAAATAATTTTCAGCTGCCCTTTCTACTTCCAACTCCAGCATTTCCATATTTCTGACTGTTCTTTAAACAAGAAGTCAAACTTATTTTAACAAACCATCATTCTTATCTTATTTACACTCTTCAATGGCAATTCATTGCTCTGGAATGAAAGTCAAACTTCTCCAACAGACTTCCAGCCCTTGCACAATCTAGCTGCTTCTGATTAATCTCATCTCAACTCCCATCAACATCCTCTCCCTCTACTTCATATTCATTCATTCAGCAGGGAGCTGAATGGGAAACGGAATAGCCAGGACATGAACCAGCTGCCATATGGGATCCCAGCAGATACAAAGTGAGGACTTAAGCCACGAGACTACAGCACTAGGCGGTAAATATCATATTTCTATTTGTATAATTACCAATATGCTGATGCCACAGACATGCAGCACATTTTTAATCAATAATATAAAAAACATAGACTCATCATATTTGATATCCAAAGGCAACAATAGTATGATATTTATATAGTCAAGTGAGGGCAGAATACTCCTCTAGGCATTCTGAATACAGGTACAAAAAATATTGGGACTGGGGTGCTCAGACAAATATAATTAAAGATTTTTTTAATGGCTGTGGATAGGTCTGATCAGAACTACACTAATAAATGATACAAAAACTGCCATTAAGGTCCTTTATATCCTCTTACACAGATTCTGTGATTTTTTTTCTCTGTCCAAGTTCTTGAAACAAGGGAGGCAGCATGGTCAAGATGATAATTCTGTTTGATACTATTGTAAGGTTGAGCCTCTTTACCAAAGACTGTTAACCCAAAACAGGCCTCTCTTCCATCCTAATAACTTACTTCTCCTTTAATAGAGATCCTGGCCTCTGGCAAATTCTTTTTTTCAGATGGCTAAACATTCAGGTTGTGCTATCTTGTCTACACACCAATCAAATTTGGCTACTACAAACCAGAATGCTGTCCAAAACCTTGGGAAAATTACCGGTTAAACCCATACTATTTTTTAAATTAAAAATCAACACCTTGTGAATTTCAAGGAATCAAACATTCTTTAATGGGGACTAATATTAAGGCTGTAGTTAAATTTCAGGGAGGAATTTATGAAAGGATGATATACAGCAGAAGGAGGTAACAGAGCTGTAAGTTGGAAAACATTCAGAACCTAATGTGGTGTTAGGTTTTAGAGAGCCACTGGCTTTACAAACAAAAGCAAAAGATAGATTGTCCTCATCATTGCAAGTGGGTTCTGAGAGTGGGAAGAGAGCCACAGTTCCCCAGTGAGTAGACAGGCAGCGCAGGAGACGGTCATCGTCCTTCCTAAACCCGTGGCCGCACTGCTTCCTCCGTCACAACAGTGCATTTCATTTTTTATTATTTATGGAGCAACATGCATGCAACTCATGTTTTACTAAGGTTTTAATATCAATTAGTAAATGTTAGGAAAGCGCTTTGAAGATGAAAAGTTGTGTAAGTTCTCAGTATTATCATTATACCCATTATCATAAAACACATAAAAGTCACAGATTCTCGTAAGCTAAATAGGTGAAGAATGACTGTGCCACCCAGCATTCGAGAGGAAGATGACAAAGGAGCAACCTCCGCTGAGAGAGGAGCCATGGACACCTCTGCGAAACAGGTGGGTTGGAGAGGGAGGACACGGGGTTTAGCCTTGCACTTCTGACGAATATTCTATAGAGACATAATTCACTAAAGCAATTCAATTTGTATTTCAAGGTTCTAAAAAATTACCTGCTTCCTCAATGTTTTATAAACACAGGAGTGAAAGGAAAATAAAATTTATTAATGTGCACAAGTTTTAATAATTAGATACAGTTTTGATTATTAATTTTGTGGAAAATGTGTCGATGATATTAATCCACTCCAGAGAATGATATAAACAAATGATGAAATCTGAAAGTGCCTAGAAGATTTCATTTTTAAAACATTATTTCACTGTGAAAAATAAAACAATTGTACCTACATACTTCTAATATTGTATGTTGAAGCAGAGACATTAATACTTATGCTCACAATTTGTCTTTTTAATGACAGGAAGTGGTAGAACAAAGCTTGGGTCGTAGTTTTTAAAACTAGAAAAGTGTAATGCCTCACTACTATACATATTTAGTGGTGTAGTTGAAAACAGAGGCTTTTGTTCCTTCCCATTACCAACGTCATACGGCTACGAAGACTTGGCTTGAAAGCCCAAGAAATGTGCCAACTCACTCCATGACTCACACCAATAAACAAATACTTTCTACATTTCGATTCTTAAGCCAATCAAACACAAAAACAAATGTTTACATCCTCATTGCAGTCATTCTTGACACTCCAACAAAATGTATGCATTGAGCCTAATTCGTAATTCACAAAGTTTGTTTTGATGTTTGCCAAACTCCTAGATTCTAAATAACTAATGTGTTTTCAGAAACAGTGAAATTCCCAATGAATATCTCAAATAACACCTCTTTACACACTCAAATTAACATTGGATGTATTTGTCTTTGACAGAAATATTGAAATCTTTTCCTTAAAATCAAGACACTGTTAATTTTTTATTTAATTAACCAAATAGTACTACAATGTTTCATCTCAGCTTCTAAGTAATGTATTGCATGCGTCTTCCACATATCAACTTGTTCAGTTCCTTGTGAATTTTAAAGACTGTATTAGAAACAGTATGAAAACAGATTCAGACTTCATTCTTTAAAGGAATTAATTTTTTAGGCATACACAGCAGTAAGCCACTATTTCTCAAATCTTTAAATAATTCTATATATCATTATTCCATGATACTAGATCTGAATTGTTTCAAGGATATATTTTTTGAGCAAATAAAACCCATACAAAAAATTAAGACATTTTGCTGAAATCAACACTTTTTTTTTTTGGTTCTGTTCTCAGTACTCATCCATGACCCAATTTCTACTGAAAACTAACAATAACATTTAAGGAAAAAAAATCAAATTCATGCTTCTGACATTGTTCTTAAGGAATGCTTTCAAACAAAGAATCTGAATGTTGACAAAGTAGAATTTTCCTTTTGAATTTTAGAACACACACATCACTACCACTACCACAACCACACAGATTAGCTCAGACATTCAAATTGCCAAAACCTTTTGCAACTAGATAAAAAATACATAAATCTTAGAAAATGCAGAAGAAACCCAAAATAGTTTATTACTTAATTTTGGAATTAATTTTTATTTATTAATTATATATTCACATTTTGAATCACAATAGATGGGTCACTCAGTGATTGTAGATTTGGGAAAAGGGATTAATGGAAATTATAAGTAAAGATGACCTCTTATTATTTAATTTTCCTTATGCAGATTAGAAATGTGAAGCCTTCATCTTTCATCCTAAGCCTAAATGTGTACATACTGATAATGAAAAGAAGAAAAATCTCTACCTGTATTTCTTACCTTCTTTAGATGTGAAATGTCCTTTTAGAAACATTGTCCTTTAATTTTTTGTTGTTGTTGTTCTTTAAAATTACAAAACCTAAATGGAGGATTTAGGAAATCTTTCCAACTCCAAAAGGCTATGAGTTTCTCACTCTAGGAAGTTTATATTGGAGGGAATTTGAAGTCAAGTAAAGTTTCCCGTTAGTCAAATTCATATAAAAATTGCTTCTATATCCCTCATAGAGAAATAACAAATGGAGGATTTCTGTGTAGCTACAGACTGAATTATCGGTAACATGTCAACATTTCATGTTTTGATATATAAGAATCAAGTTTCAGATGATTTAAGAAAGACATGTTTGAAATGAATGGGAAAATATGTACTAAAAAGTGTCATATCAAAATTCACACTCATTTGGCAAATTTCCCAGCTTCTTGCTAATGCACAATCTTGAGGGCACCAGGTTATAGATCAAATAGTTGGGTCTCTGCCCATTCTCCCTGCCCCCTCCCTCCCTGGCACAGTAAACCAGGACTGAGTTCTTAGTTCTTGACGTTAAATCCAACCCAGCCTGGCTTTTGGGGGAGCATTTGGGGAGTGAACTAACAAATGAGAGAGCACATTTCTCTCGCTCCCTCCCTCCTTCTTTCTTTCCCAAATGACTTTTACAAAATAAAGCAGTCTTTTTTTTTCCCTTTTCTTTCTCTTTTTTTTTAAATTTTAGTCCTTCTACTTCGTGCGTATGGAAAATGGTCCACAACAAAATGAAAACATTGTCTTGACCCCATTTCCTCCACCATCCACAGTCCCTTATCTTGCCCCCTGCTTTTCAGCAAATGCTTTGTAAAGAGTAACTTGAGTGACTGATGGTCAGTGTATAGATCTTCTGGTCACATTTTCTTTTAAACCACCTCTAAAGAGTCCTTTGCCTTTTCTACTCCTAAACTTATTTCATTAAGATCACTAAATTGTCTTTATAACGCTAATCCAGCAATCTATTTTCAGTGCCCATTTGCCTATTACATTTGAGTTAACAGCAATACCTGCAGTTAATCAAGCTCCTTCCTCAACCTTCAATCTTCTCTTGGCTTCTCAGGTGCCGTAACACCTTGGCTTCATCCTACTTCATCGATTGTTTCCTCTTCACGCTTTTTGCTACATTCTTCTCCTATGTCCATTATTTCTCAATGAGGGAGTTCCCAAGTGATCGTGTTTCAGTCTTGTTCTCTCTCCACCCACATAATATGTCTTTGGCACTCTCTCATCTGGACCCACAGCACTATCTACATATTCATAAATACCAACCTGACATTGCCAACCTAGACTTCTATTCTAAACTTGCAACCACACAACTTGCATCACCATTTGTATGCCTAAGAGCATATCAAATACAAAATAAGTAAAAATGAATGTATACAAATCCCCATAACCTGCTTTATTGCCAGTCTTTCCATCTCAGCTAATGATAACACCATCTCTGAAGTCCTCAAACTGAGGGCCTAGCAATCATTTTTGAATTGTCTTTTCCACTTTTCTTCCACACCAAGCCTTCAGAACAATGACAACACTATGTACAAAATATAGCCAAGTTTCGTTTCATGTCTATGCCAATATCATCTTCCTGGGTGGGTTATGGTAATAATTTCCTATCTATTCCTCTGCTTCAACTTTTGCTCCAACAGTTAAATCTATAGAGTAGTCAGACTGATCTTATTTTGATATTAAATCATCATAGCTCTTTTTTCAAACACTCTATTGGTACCATTTCACTCAGAAAAACCCAAATTATTATCATGACACGCAAAGCTCTATAAGTCCTGGACTTTGGTAATGCTTGGGCTTAACTTTCACTATTATTCTCATTCTTCACTCTTTTCAATCATACTAACATTCCTAGCATTCCCATAACTGGAGGCCTTGGTTGAGTTATTCCTCTGCCTGGAAAAACCCATCACATGTTTCAGATATACTCAGATTTTGCCTACTCTGTCACTCTGAAGTTTTTTTTTAAAGATTTATTATTTTTATCGCAAAGTGAAATATACAGAGAGGAGGAGAGACAGAGAGGAAGATCTTCAGTCTGATGACTCACTCCCCAAATGACTGCAACGGCCAGAATGGTGCCAATCCGAAGCCAGGAGCCTGGAGCCTCTTCCAGGTTTCCCATGTAGGTACAGGGTCCCAAGGCTTTGGGCCATCCTCAACTGCTTTCCCAGGCCACAAGCAGGGAGCTGAATGGGAAGTGGGGCCGCTTGGATTAGAACCAGCACACATATGCCATCCCAATGTGTTCAAGGTGAGGATTTGGCCACTAGGCCACAGTTTTAGGCCCTGTCACTCTGTTTTTAAGATTTTCTTATTTGTTTGAAAGGCAGAGTGGCACAGGAGACAGAAATTGGGAGAGAAGAACCAACACCTGCTGATTCATTCATTTCCTTCCTTCTCCACTAAACCCCATATTTCAGGCTTCCTTTGCCTACCTCTACTTCATTTTCTGTAGTACTTAGTACTTTTATCAATTAAATATTTTATTTATTATCTTTTTGTTTGTTGCCTACCTCCACTTTTATGATATAAGATCCATAAGAAAAGACATCTTTATTAAGACAGCAATGTCTAGTACACAGTAGAACATCACAAATATTTGCTAGCTGAATGAATATTGACTTCCCAATACCATTATGATTCATGTGCGATGAAAAATAAGCAGCCACATACTTACATTTGCTAACTCAACACTGCTCTTCAAGTTCAATAGTCCTTGAACTCATAGTCAATATAAATAATATACTTTTACACTTAGATAACCCAATTTATTTCTTAAAGTCCTATATTAACCTTATAATGACAATTGCTTTCATATCCTTTTATTCCTAGAAGAATGGAGTCAAAAACAAGAATGAAACTCACAAGGTGTGGCAAGATTACCTTGGGTATCTTAATGATGGTGATTGCTACAGTAGCTGTTGGACTCATTGTCTACTTTGTTGCATATGGTAAGTGCTCATTAAGTCTGGCTTTCCAGTCTTGTTGATATTATATTGGGAAAATTAGGAATTTTGATTTTAAAAAGGAACAAAAAATTGAATGAGACAATTTCAGAGAGCAAAATTGCAATGGTTACATTTACTTCAGACTTTGCTACTTTGAAAATACTTTAATGTTTAATGAAAACATTTTGATGAGCTTTAATAAATGTAAAGACCTATGATACTACAATTAAGGTACTAAATACTCACCCCCCCAAAAAAATGTCCCTGCCTGAAAACGTTATTCTTTAGTGAATTTTATTTAGGGAAAACGAACAAAGTTTCATAAGGATTCAAATGCTGGGAATGCACTAATGAATAATATAATCAGTATTACTTTGTTGAACTTAAAACTCTCTGAAGAGGTAATAAGTGAGTAACAAATATGAAAGCTTACAATCTGTGATTTTTTTTATTATTAATTACATTGCATTATTTGACACAGTTTCATGTGCTCTCTGGATTCCCCCAACCCTTCCCCGTGCCCTCCCCCCATGGTGGATTTCTCCACCTTGTCCTATGTGTGTCATTTTTTTCTTTATACACTATTTTATTCTCAAAAAATCTCTAGTGAAAAATAAAATATTCCTTATATTCGGGGTGAAAAGGAAAAGATGGTCTATACAAATTTTTCCTATGCATATTTTGCAGAAAAGGATAAGATATGTGTGTTCAAAATAGCTTTTTGTACCCACTTGCCTGAGTCTTTGCTCATTACTTTCCTTAACACACTTTTTTCCTAAACTCTTCAATAATAAGAATATTTTCATAAGGAATTTTTTTCTTTATTCTCTCAAGAAAGTAGCTACTTTGGAAGATAAGAAAAAATGTAATGTAAATTTGGCATTTTTAAAAAATTAATTGGCATTTCATCACATAACTTGTGCTTGAAATTCAGCAACAATATATGTACAAAAATTGTTGCTTATTAAATCTGTATGAACAATATTTTGTATGTACAGGGTACTTCAAAGAGATCTTGAAAGGGCAAGTGTTGTGACACAGCCTATTAAGTTTCTATTTTGGACACACACTGACTGGGATGAAGATCCAGCTACCCCACTTCCAACCTGTCTTCCTGTTAATTATCCTGGAAGGCCATGGAAGAGGGCCAAAGTTCTTTGGTTATTGTAGCTCACACACATGGATTTCCTTGTTCCTAACTTTTGCCTGGCCCAGCCATAACCAGAAAACGGAAGTACCCCCTATCTTGTGCTCCAACTCTCCCTCTGCCTCACATACTGCCTTTCAAGTAAATAAATAAATAAACCTTTTTGAAAAGGTTTTTTTACTTGTCTGAAAGGCAGAGTCAGAAAAAGTAAGAGTGAGAGACAGAAGGTCCCCATCCACTTTATCTCTCCTAAATGGCTACAATGGCTGGGGCTGAGTCGGGCCCAGGAGCCAGGCTCTCCATTCAGCTATCCCACATGGGTACAGGGGCCTAGGGACTAGGGACAACCTCCACTGCTTTTCCGGGTACACTACCAGGGAGCTGGACTGGAAGTGGTGCAGCCAGAATTTCAACCAGAACTCATTTGCGGTGTCAGCACCACAAATGAAAAGTTTACTCACTGCACCAAAGAACCAACCCCAGTATATAAATATTTAAAAACAAATGTCCATTTCAGCTTATTAAGGGAAAAGAATTTATACAAAGGGAAATCAGGTTGTGCATTGTAGAATAAGGAAGCAATCTGGGGCCTGGTGCAATGGTTCAATTGGCTAATCCTACAACTCCAAGCAAGACGATTTGATATGGGCTCCAGTTTGTGTTCCAGCTGCTGCACGTCCCATCCAGATCCCTACTTCTTGCCTGGGAAAGCGATGGAGGACATTCCAAAGCCTTAGGACCCTGCTCCCATATGGGAGACCCAAGAAATGTACCTAGCTCCTAGCTTCAGATTGGCTCGGCTCTGATCATTGCAACCATTTGGGGAGTGAATCAGCTGATGTAAGATCTACCTTTGTCTCTCTTTTTCTCTGAAAATATGTCTTTCTAATGAAAATAAATAAATTTTGGTATATATTCTTATTTGTTTATTTTTTTTCTGATACAGTTTCATAGGCTCTGGCATTTCCCTTCTCTGATCCCTAAAACTCCTCCCCCCAATGGTTTCCCTTTATCATTACAATAGCATAGTCTCTCATAAGCAGCCTTAAGTCCATCATTCGGCTTTATTGTATACTGACATTGTAGATATGGACAATGGCAGACAGTGCAGCATCCTATTGTCAAGATACATCCAGCAGTTTCATTGGGGGTCCATCTTTGAGTTGGATGTAGAGATGCATACTGCCTTGTAGCTTCACATCTCAGTATTCTAGTCTCTATTACAGTTACTATGCATCCTTTTAAATTAAAAGCCATAAAACAAAATCAATAACAGGAACAAATAGAAAATTAACAACAACATGAAGTTAAATAACATGCTACTGAATGACCAACATGTTGTTAAGAAAATGAAAATCAAAAACCATCATGTAATAAGGGGGCTTTTGTCTTTACTTTTCATTTCTCCACCCATGTGTTGGTTATTTAGTTTTTTGACTCCATGGTGCTGTAAATGTTTTGTTTTAGCTTCATATGTGTTGTTGAAGTTATTTCGTAGCTTCTCATTTAAGGGAATGTATAATGACAGCATAATAGAGACTAACATGTTCAGATGTGAAGATACAATGCAGCATGCATCTCTATGTCTAAATCAAAGATAGACTCCCAATAAAACTGTTGGACATATCTAGACAATTGGATGCTGGACTGTTGACATTGTCTGTACCAGCGATGTCAGGGCACACTTAAATAAGACTGATGGACTTATGACTGTTGGCAAGGACTATGCTATTTGCAACAATATAAGGAAAATCAGTCAAGGAATGGAAATTTAAGGAGAGGTTAGGGAGATTCCAGACCCTATGAAATTGTACCATAAAATTCAAAATTATAAGAAAGAAAACTTCTTGAAAAAATGATGCTCCTATATGACCTATGAGTCAATGAAAAAATTAGTAAGAAAAAAATTTCAAATAAATGAAAATAAAAACAAAAATATCAAAACCCTGCGATGTAACACAAACAGTTTTGAAAGTTATTTATGCTGTATTTGCATTAAGGTTGCCTTACACCTTTTGAGAACATTTGATATTTGCCGTTTTGGGCTTGACGTATTTCCCTGAGCATAATAATCTCTAGTTGGGACCATTTGGTTACAAATAGTAGAATTTCATTCTTCTTAATGGCTGAGTAGTAATCCATGAAGTAGATGTACCAAGCTTCTTGATCCACTCCTCTTTGCATGACATTCTTGGTAGTCTCCATGTCTTTGCTATTGTAGATGGTGCTGCTAAATATAGGATTGCAGATCCCTTTCTCATATGCTGAATCCATTTGCTTTGGATATAGTCCCAGAAGTGGAAAAGCTCAGTCATTTGGCATGTCGATTTTCAGTTCTCTTCCCACTCTCCATAATGACTTCCATAGTAGTTATACTAGCCCACAGTCCCAACAAGAGTGAGAGAGGGTTCCTTTCTTCTCCATCCATGCCAGACGGCTTTGTTAATAGAGTTCTGAATGCAGGCCAATCTCCCTGGAGTTAGGGGGAATTTCAGTATGATTTTCATTTGTATTTCCCTGACAAGTCGGGAGCCTGAGCATTGTTCCATGTCTAGCCATTTGAATTTATTTTTTGAAAAAATTACTGTTCATTTCCTTCACCCATTTCTTCACAGGAGTGTTTGTTTTTGCTGTCATTCAGTTTCTGAAGTTGTATGTAAATCCTGGATATTACTCCCCTTGTTGTGTTGCACCAAGATTTTCTGCTATTCTATTGTTACTTCATCACTTTGTTGGTTGTTTCCCTTGCTGTACAGAAGCTTCTCAGCTTGATGTAGTCCCACTTGTTTATTTTGGTTTTAAATGCCTCTGCTTTTATTGGCTTTTCTGAAAAGTCTTTTCCAATTCCTATATCTTGGAGACTGCTTCCTATATTTTCCTCTAAAAGCTTGGTGGTTGCTTGGTGTAAATTTAGGTCCTTGATTGATTTAGAGCTGATTTTTGTATAAGGTGACAGGTGGGGGTCTTGCTTCTTACATCTGCAGGCCGCTATCCAATTGTCCCAACAACACTTGTTGAAGAGACCAGGATTTTCCCTTGCATTGTTTTCAGTTTTCTCGTCAAAGATTAGTTGGTTGTACATATGTGGGCTCTCTTCTGGGGTTTATATTCTGTTCCATTGATCTTCTTTTTGGTCTCTGTGCCTCTCTGTCTCTCTTTCTGTCTGAAAATATGGCTTTGTAATGCAAATAAGTAAGTCTGAAGGAGAAGGAGGAGGGAAGGAGAACAAACCTTCCTGGACAAACTCACTGTACAAGCATGATCACTGGGTAGAATGCCACAAACCCATTGTAATCACTGCCAAACCAAGAGTCATACTCCTTATGAATGCTCATAAAATTATGAATGCATATACAGGTTTTTCTCATTCACATGATCCTTAAAGTTAATCATGTGTTTTCTCATTGGTTAGATTTTTAAGAGAGATCATAAACATCCTGTAAATAAATAATAGAATTTATGAAAGAATAAAGGTATCTGAAACTGTACACAAATTCAACTCAACAAGCATTCATTGGGTGACTACTGTGAAAATAGTGGCAGACACTAAAGTCATACAATGAGGCATAGCAGTAACATAAGACACTTTCACATTTTTTCTGTTAGTCCTTCCACTAAGAATGTATGTCATCCATATCATATGATTTTATGTCACTAAATGCTGTTGTTTTGACTTTTTCGATTTTTCAAAACGTAGAAATCATTGTGCTCACAGAACACTTTAAAATGACATGGCCAGCTCCTTTATCTTCTTACTATACCATGCACCATCTCCATTGCCAAGGTCATCTCAATGCCCTCTGCAGCTAGACGACTATGGCTCATCATGCCCACATTCCAGCATGATAGAAGGTAA